GACACCCATTCTCCAGACATGTTGCCTAATAATATTATCTCTCATGGGCTGTGGTGCTTCCCTAAAGTCCACTTGAATTAATTTTTTCCTGAAACAGCTCATCTAAAGAGACGCCAGATGATGTCAGAGATGCAGCCTGAACATTTGTCCACGCTGTGTGTGCTATTGCACTGAACATTTTTCTGGGCAGAGACATCCACTCTGGTTCTGTCATCATCTATGCAAGGTGTCCAGCACACCTACAGGGTGTATTTTCATGGACTAGAGCAACTTTGAAGGAATAAGTTGGAGTGCCTCAAGCCAGCGTAAAGGCTAAGCATATGGCAGGCAGCAAGCAGGATGCTTTACCATGGAACAAGTTTGTGAAAACCAGTGATTTCAAGCTAGGAAAGAGAGGGCAGGGAAATGTTTTTACCTCTGGGACCCAGTTGGAGCTCCCTGTAGATGTCTCTTGGCGTTAACAAATACTTCCCTTCTTTTCTCTCACATAATTGCATTCTTTACTCCCCCTTTCTCCCATGTGAAAATGTTCCTTAAAATGAGACTCAATTCTCCATGGAAATACTGAAAATATAGGTGCCAGAAAATGAGATCTTTTCGTTAGCAGTCAGTGTAGCCTTCATACAAAATCGACTTTCATAGTTACTTTACCCCATGTAATTACACAGCAAAGCCCTGTTTAACATCTCACTACATAATGGAAACTTTCTATTTCAAATCAGATTAATGTTAAGAGTTACTCAGACATTTCAAGAGATAATAGCTGTAATTAAGGTGTTTCTAGTGATGGGCTCCTATTGTAACGTGGCAGAAGATTCTCTGATAGTCTTGCTGACTGCATTAGTCACAATTGTTTTCATTAATATTGACACTACTCTCTTACCAGACAAACAGAAAAGGAGATTAATCAAAACACTCTGCTGGTTTCCTATGCTCTGAACCCCTCTTTTGGACTGGTGCTCAATTCTTAGCTTTCAGTTGGAATAAAGAGCAGGTTTTGTAAGATGTGCAGCTTCACACCTGTTTTTTAAAGCAAAATTGTAAGAACAAAGAGAGATAATTATTTTTTTTAAATCTGAAAAAAAAGCACTGATGAAATTTAAATGCTACAATTCCTAATCATCTCATTTGTTTCCAGTTTGTGTGTCAGTGATGTGAGATTGCTGGAGTGTGTTCAGACTGGGGAATGAGGTGAGCATGTATACGTGGGTTCATTATCTTGAGGAAAAAATTGCACAGACCAAGGCACAAATGGCCCGTGAGTCATTTGGGTTTGTGAGGCTGACTCAGAAAAATGGGGGCCTCTAGTGACAAGTCGCTGTGATGATGGTTTGGGATGAGCAAAGAGTGTGTTGAGTTTCAAAATGATGGAACAAAAGAGACCTTCATTTCCAGCAGAACCAATTAAGTTAAACAAAGGATGGATTTGACTTTAGACGCCCTATAAATGTTAATTTTTCATGGGTATCAGTTCTACAGAGCCAGTTGAAGCTGTCAGAGTCAGCTTCTCCTGAATGAAGGTGTCATGTCAAGACATCCAGATAAAAGTTATGCCAAGTACCAAAAATGAGAGGTAGCATGCATGGGAGCAGGGAGCATGACAGGACTGCAGGGCATGATCTCATACAACTCACAGTGAAAAGAGAAGCAAAGGAACAGCTTTGTTCTGAGGAAATTCATACATTGATTTCCAGATCCAGCAGTTTGCCAGTTAAACAAGCAAAGGAAGAAAACCAACCATAAAAATGCACATTTGGGAGCACCGTGCATATTAACCACTACACCTGTGGCTGCTAAATGTGCTTTGGAAATACATCTGTGAAATATGATGAGTCAGTTAAAAGTTTATTTCAGTAGATTTGAATACTATGAAGAGATAGAAAACTGTGAATCCCTTAACCCCAGTTTTCTAAAGAAAAACATGAAAATACTAAGGGAAAACTATATTTGTAAACATTTTTTTCACTTTCTGCTTTCAAATACTAGTCATCATGATTCAGCCTCCTAAAAAGTTAGTGATAACCATCAAAATTGTTGCTGTTTTCATACATCTAATGCTAAACAAGTATTTTTGTGTAACCCTTCAAGTGTGAAATATTTTGTGTTTTGTACATAGGAATACGTAGAAGTACCCTTCAAATTTGCAAAATGGAAGACAGCTATACTTTATCAGATGCATTGCTCAGCTTTATATTCACAGGAACAGAAAAAGTTGGTATTACCACAGTGCGAGACCAAAGGACCTGGTAGATCATTTATTATTGAAGTGAGAATAATAATTAAAAAACAAAACCAAAAAAAAGCTCTGTAAGGAACAGGTCTTCTCTGCAAGAAGTCTCAAAATGCCTGTTTCCTGCTTTAATATTGACTTTCAGAGGCTACAAGTTTATAAAACGATGTCTGACTAGTGACTGACCTGCTGACCTTTGTAATGTGGGCTCAAATTCCTTTGCACCTGACATTTTGTTTTGCTTAGAAGGGATCTGCAGCTCACTGAGGCTGTAGTCCCACTGGGATATGGCTCTCCCTTATGGTCCTTACAAGGCAGCATACATGTCTGTTTTCCTACTCTCTGGTTTCTGGCCAGGACACAATAAAAAAACACAAACCCTTGTGGGAATGGAAAACTAGCTAACTAAAAAAATCATAAAACCTCATTCTCTAAGTTCTGTATATAACCTTTTAATCCATGATTACAAATTACTTCTTGCTAATGTTTTGTAAAATGCTCTTTTAAACTCAGTTACTGGAGGTTATGCACTCACTTATTAAAAGCTGGTAAAACTAGTTGTGTGAAGCCTCTGTCAAAATCAGTACTTAAAAAAATAAATCCCAGACTTGTACAAAAGAGGAAAGACATCTCAAATTCAGTACTGCTCAGTGTCTGTTGAATAAAAACTATCAGCTGTAGAGGATGTGAAAAGCATAAGGCTTCAATAAGGAGAAAGTGGCTTATAATTCTTGAAATGAGATAATAATTATAATAATTTATAATTCTCTTGAAATGAGAGCTGTGGTTGTATTAATTTAAAAGTTAATTTTCCCTTTAGGTTAAGAGTTTCTGTAGTTTTGGTGAGGTAGGACAGGATGTGCTTCAATTTATACTTCAATAAATAAGAAAAAATTCTACTGATATGAGTAGGATTAAACAGAGGGGAAGCAGAAAATAGACCTGCCATCACTGGGAATTACAAAGAGCAAAAAGACCCAGCATCTGTGTGTAGAAATAAATCAAAGGGGATGGTACAGAAATAGCTCCCATGTCCATAGGAATAAAAACTGTAGTTTAAGAAAATAATAATAACAATTAGAATGATATAAAGACTGAAAGAAGAGAGAGAAATGGAAGAATATACTTAAAGGCATAACTCTTTATGCTGGTCAGTCACATCCTACATCCTATTTGAGGTACAATAAAACAATAGTTGTTGTACCCTGCTGAATTTGTTACAAGTTGTTCAAAGATGGTGATAAAGCATTTCTGATAAACAGCAGTGTGGGGGATTTCTCTGCTGGTGGTCCTGCACTCCTGACCACAGCTCTTTCCTTAGAGGGGAGAGCATCCATGGGTAAAACTGCACCCCTGCTGGCTTGAGGAGTTAAAGCTAAGGCCTGATTCCTTGTTTACCTTTTTTTTGAACCATTGTAAAGCTCTGTTATTGTGGTTGTGATTTGTGTTGCTGCCAGGGTGATAAAAAGCAGTTTCAGAATTTAAAGCCCTAGCTCCTGCTGGGGTTAAACAAGCACTTAGCACTTGTTTGGTCTGTGAGATTATCATCAGTGAAAATGAGCATAAATTGAGTATGTTCTTAAGAGCTTTATGCAATCCATGTTTACATCTCTATTCATGTTGACTGAAGGCAATTTCTGATTAATTTTTACAAAACTGAGTATAACAGGAATGTTTCGTTGTGCTTCCTGGAAAACATAACCAGAAAGACCCTAGTAGTGTCAAGTGTGGGTCTGTCATGTAGGAGACAGAAATTGTGAAATGTGAGGAATTTTTGCCATCAAACAGTCCTCCACAATCTTCTCTTGGGAAATGAAGAAAGAATTATATGGGGATGACAGTGTAGGCATGACACTTTCTGAATATTCAGTCAAAGCCTTTGGAGTAGGGAAATATGTGTCACAAATGATGCTGTTGCCGTTGGGCTCTGGGACTATACTCATGGTCCAGGAGTGATAGGAAGCTTTAAGTTCAAAACGGGTTACAAGTTGATAGATATCAACTCTAACAGATTTGAAAAAAAACCAAGCATGAGAGTTTTCTCTCATCAGGTTTCTGTCCTTCCAGTTTTCCATTTTACTGAAACCTTGTAGGTTATTTCAGTTTGGATCAGAAGAGAAGTGTCCTTCAGGAGTGGTGTTACTCTGTGGCTTCATCCTGAGGGTGATATGTGTGAGGGTGACACACAAACGACAAAAATGGTGTGTGTGGTTTCTACATGGGAAGGATATACTGTGTTTCATTGGAGATTTAAACCCCACAACTGATAGGCATTACAAAACCTCTTGCCATTTTGATGCATGTTACATAAAAGGTTACTATGTACAGCCTGCCAGCCTGTGGCAGATGGCTTTCTGTACATAACACAAACTTTGATGTGACAGAATTTCTGTAATTGCCATTTTATTTCTGCACAAATACACTCTCCTCCATCCAATATTTTAAATGCACAAAGCACAATGTTCACCAAAGTAATGACTTCACACATATAAAGTGACCATCAGAAACACCTAGTAGCTGCACTCTGAGAGCACTGAGGGAATGTTTTTGAGGAGATGCTTGTTCCTATCCTAGGAGAATGGGCATAGCAGAGTTTCATGAGGGCAGAAGAACAACAACCTCTCTTCTGAACAGCTCATCTGCTGGTGGGCAGAGACATTGCTAAGGGGACCCACAAGAGGCACAGCAAGTGAACATCACAAAGGAGCTGGTGGAGTGAGGAGGCCCCTGTGCACATCCCACTCTTCAGCCTGGGAGCATGGTGCCTCAGCTCCCCACCACTCCCACAGCAGCAGAGGACACACTTCTATGAGGAGCAGCAGGCAAATCTTTCAAGGAAAACACAACCACAAGCACTTTCCCAGCTATGGGTTAATTTTCAGCCCGAGACACAAAGCTAGTTCAGATTTCTGAATTTTCCCATCCTTGTTCACATCGCAGTGGTTGAGCAGGATCTGGCGGAACTTGTCCAGGTCCACCCCGCTAATGCTGGGCTGCAGACAAAGAGAAAAAGAATGCTGAGAGAAAATGGCTCTGGATTTCCCCAGCTTGTAAAGCAGCCCACCATGTAGCAACTGGGAAATCCACCCAAAGAAGAATGACCAAAAGGCCCCACATCATCTCAAATGCTGTGGGGAAGCAAACAGAAGATGGGCAAAGAGTGCCCTGCAAAAGCAGAAGGTGCATGGAACTGTAAGTGATTATATAGAAATGCACCATGACTTTTGTGCTCAGTCAACGCCATCAATATCTGATCCATATAAAAGAAAACTTTGCTAAGTTATGCAATGCAGATCCCTGCTCTACCAGACCTGTGCTTTCATCTGGTTTCCTCTCTGAAACCTGCTGTGCAAGGACTAATGTGACATTTCTGTCAGCATACTGCTATTTTACAGGCTAGTCAGCAATGTAAAAATACCTTTCAGTGGATCAAGTTCATGTTGAAGGCACATTTCACAGGCCACACAGTCTGTATGCTCCTAATGCTATACTGCCTGTTCTGCTTCCCACATTCTCAGGAGGGGATCAAATTCACATGCACAGCTTGTGGTGCCCAAGGGCAATACTGATGAAGTCCCTTAGGTAAAGTACAAATTTCCCTCCTTTACACTCACACATGGCACAAATCCAGCTTCCTGCCCATCCCCACACCCTGCCCTCTACACTACATGGCCAGAACACACGCACACAGCCATCAGCACACAGCTGCCATTCTCTGCTCTCTCCTGAATGGACATGGCAGCACAGATACTTCACACTGTGTGGAAATGCAACAGCTCAGGCTCAAAGGAAGCTAAAGATCAGATTCTGTTTGAGTCAAAAGGTCTGTCTTGGACTGCATCTGGAAATTCAAGATAATCCAATGAAGACAGACTCTTCTGTCCATCGGGAGCTGAAAAGACACACCAGGTACAGTATTCTTGATTATATATAGATCTCAAGTAATTTTCAATTGTAGTCCTGAGATGAGCTAATGAACCACGAGGTCATTCTGGTGAGAACCACATCCACAAGGAAAACAGAAGAAAGAAATTGTGATGACCCATCCTTATGATGCCTTTGAATTAGGCAGATGTTACATCCATATCATGTCATGCTGTAACATCTGCCTAATTCAAAGTATGAACTAGAATGGACCTTTTAAAAATAGAGTTGCTGAGGGAAGCTGTATTCATTTGTGAGACAGAATTTCTGTGTTACGGTGAAATGCTCTACAGAGTATATACTGAGATGGTGAATTCCCTTCTGCTGATGATCAAACTAAAATTTGACTCCATGTTCTTACTAGTGCCTCTGTGTACATTTCTAAAAGCACTGATCTTAAAGAAATACAGAGTACTAACAAACAGAGCCATGAAGATGTTTGTTAGATACCTTGACCAGTTCCATCATGTCTTTGACAAACCCATCCACTTCTGGGCCTTCAAGTGCTCCTGTTTTACTCTGAAAGAAGGAATAAACATCAAAACTCCCCAGTGAATCAAAAGTGCTGCAGCATTTACTGGTCAGTACCACCACCTGGTCATCAAACTTTGTAGCATAAAGTTCACAGAACCATGAAATGTTTTGGGTTGGAAGGAACATTAAAGATCATCCAATTCCAGCCATTCCACCATGGCCAAGGACACCTTCCACTAGCCAAAGTTGCTCAAAGCCCCATCCAACCTGGCCTTGGACACTTCCAGGTTTGGGAAATCCACAGCTTCTCTGGGCAAACCTGTTCCAGTGCTTCACTACCCTCACAATAAAGAATTTCTTCCTAATATCTAGTATCTAAGATCCCTTTGTTTTTTACAAACCATCTCTTCCCACCAAATGGGAGCAATATCTCCCACCACCCTGAGGGAGTTGTGTGACTGCCAGAAGCAGCACTGAATTTCTTATGTCTAACAGGCAGTTAAATGGTTGTGTCTGTTCTGAGCCAGACTCCCTGGGTTTGATATCTGAATGGGGTTTATTTTTCAGCATGGTGGTGATGCAGGTCCTGAACTGCCAGAGACTGTGAGCACTAAAGCCACCACCTCCTCTGCCTCTATTGTATCTCCTGCAGGAAAACTGTTAATGCAGCAGCACTGGCCGTGGCAATGGAGAAAGTTGAAATGGGTCCTTGACACAAGATCTCTGAGCATTGCTTCTCTCTGCCCCTACTTCACCCCTCCCAATCTGGCATCTGGGCTCATGGGCCATGGGCTTGGGCACAGCTGCCACTCCTCAGTGACTCCAGCAGCACCCAGCAGGAGGAAGAAGTCTCAGCACAGCAGCACATGCTAAATTTGTCATTTACAAACCACAAGGCAATGAACTGATTCATGGGACTCACAACATCGTAGTGTGCAAAGATCTTCTCAAAATCTCTCCTCCTTTCTTCTGTGCTGCAAGCCTGTGTACAGAAAGGATGAACAAATGGAAAATTCAAGCAAAAATTTTAAGTTTGGGGTCATCTTAGCTGAGACAGGATCAATGTATCAAAAATTAGTGCTACTTACATCCATCTTGAATTGTAGAAGGAAATTTTCCTGGAGTGCCAGAATCCTGAATGGAGAGATTTAAATTATGATCTTTTCACCTTATCATCTGCACATGAACTACTCTGTGCTCTCCTTGTTTGCAAAGCAAAGGGATGTTAGATTAAAGGCCTATAAAAGAGAATATTGCCTGTGGGGTTATTTACAGAGGGCTGTTGTGGGAACACAAGCCTTCTTCCCTGTCTGATGGCCACAGAGGGTGCCCTTTGGTTCACCACAGACATACCTATTAGTACCATTGCTTCTCCCAGAGCATTTCTGGTGGTCCTGCACAACAGAGGGTGTCAGCTTCCAAAGCAAGAGCTACCAGACAATTATTCCTTGTAACTGAATTGCTGTGCTGCATTAAAGAAAGTGATTTATAGCTCTCTCTTGGAGGGAGACTTAGTGGTTGTAAAAGTAATACTGGCCTGTGTACCAAGACTGGCAGAATTCCTCTCTTTTCATCTCCTAAAGCCTGTCAAGACTGATAAACCGTTTTCTCTCTCCAACTGCTTTACTAACCCTGAGGTTTTTAAAGCCCATGGCACAGGGCATGCTAAGCAGTGTCTGCACATGGAGGGATCTGGAGTCTGAGAAATATTCTCAGACCACAGGAAAGCCTCAGATGTCATGATTCCCAAAATGGAATTGTTTTTAAGAGAAAACTGTAACAGCAACTCCCTTTAGATATTCTCCATCCTGCCTCAGATTCTCTTCATATATTTCATGGTCAAAGGGAACTGCTGTATGCACTGCAGTTATTTGTGCTGGCATTTGTCAGGAACCAAAGCAGAGAGTAACAGTGGCAAACCATCACCTCTGTCCCCTCATCCTCTAAAATAGTCTTTTAAGGCTCTATCTGCAAATTTAGTCCTTTCCAACCAATGCACATGGTTTTACAGGGAGAGGCATACTCTCTAGGTAGTGAAAATCATCTAAAAGCCTCTGAGGTATCAAGAAAAGAGACAGGCCCATGAATGAGTCCCCAGTTTCATTCACAAGCATCTCACCTTGGCTCTCCAAATTTTTTCCTACTGCCACTGCCAAACTCTTTTGTGGTGGGACTTTCGTTATTCCAAATGCATTAAAAATTCTTTGCAATCCCTGCTGCACGTAATGATGAAAAATAAATGCATGTCTGTGACCCTATTGAAAGGATTGACATCCTTTTTTTTTTGGAGAAAGAGAGCCACTGGTTGCATTGCCACCTCCTGGGAAGCACCTCAGATTATGCCAGAGCACACTGATGTTGTACAGACAGATCTTGGCATTGCTTGTATCACTGGCTCTAGATTCTCAAATTATTGCAATGGGGACCATGTGTTAGAGGTGGGATCAGAGCAGATCTAATTTAAAAGGAGGTAGAATTCAACTGCATGTCCCCAGAGGGAGAGCATCACCTTGTGTGGATCTACCATTGTGAGCTGAAACACCCCATCAACATTATTAAATCCTACCTTGCCAGGTCATTCAGGTCCAGTCGCCCATCTTTGTTTTTATCAAAGATTTTCATCTATAAATCAAGAAGACAAGAGATAAAATAGATAGGCCACAAAGAGAACACAGATACAAAAAAAAAGCCAATATACATTTTACTCTGCCCTGTGCCCTTCCCTCTGCTTGCTCGGGGTGCTTGCCCAAACCCTGGGCAGCATGACATCCTGTGCTAACACCAGGTATAAGGGTGGCAACAGCAAAACCCACCAGCTTTCTGACAGCAACAACCCAAAGCAATCAAATACCAGTACCACTCCCTTCCCACCTTACACTGGGATAAAGCAGGTCTGCAGAAAAGACCTTCAGAAATTAAATACTGACATTGCCTTGGCCCTGAAAAAAAATGCCAGAAAAAGGGGAAAATTTCTAAACACTTCCACCTGAGCTCCTACCTTACCTTTCATTGTTGCTGTGGCTCCTGAGCAGCTGAGGTGCAAATGCCACCTTCTAATTAACACTCAGGTCAGGATTTTGCACCACTAAAGCTGTGGGGCTTGCTTGGCTCAAGGCCTGCTGCTAGAATGCATTAAGACTCGGAAGAAGGTTCATGCTGCCAACATCAAGAGGTTAAATGTGAATTCAAAACTTATCCTTTTCTTTTCCTGAATAGCATCATTTTGATGAGCCATCACACACACAAAAAAGTATTATTTCTTTATTTGTTGTATTTGGTTCTGCATTTCTCTTCAAGGCACAAAACAAAGTCTGCTACAAAGAAAGGGGTGGAGGGGATGTTTAATGAGTTGCAAACATGACTAACTCATGGCTCAAAGTTCTAGAAAAATTACATTCCACATTGTGTTGGGGGAAGATGAATATTTTACTATGACAGACTACCTTTTTTTGTCAAATACTCGGTTTAAGGAATATGCATTAATCTTACCTTGATAGATCACATTTGCTTGTTTAGTGGTTGTGCAGAGTAATTGGTTCACTACAGATCTTTTGGGTATTGCACACCTGCAGGAGAAGGCCTGGACCAGTCCCTATCTGGCAAAGCTCAGAGGGACAGGATTATCCCCTATGATATAGCCTAAATGTGTGGGAGCCAGCAGCATGTCCTGAGCACTTCCCAGCAGTGGAGCCAGGGCAGAGCCTAATAATCATGTGAGAAAAGGTAGCATCTGGAGAGCTGCCATTTCTCAGGGAAAATTTTCCTGTTTTGTCAGTGCTGCCTCTTCCCTGCCCATTGCTCAAGGGGAGCAAGGACAGCAAGTCCATGGTAACCCTTTGTTGTACCACCTTTAGACTGAGATTCTGCAACAGACTCTATACCATTAATTATTCTTAGTATTTTACATTTGTGAGGTTTGGGTGGAATTTTTGAAGAGGCATTTGGTATGGGCTCACTTTTTCTCCCATTGAAAGACAGCATGAAAGTCCTATGAATGATTGAAGGCCCATATTGAGATATTTGGAAAAATGGCATCATGAGAGCCATGTGGGTGTTCAGTGGCACAAAGAAAGCTATTTTCCCATTTAACTGATCTCTGCCAAATGTGCTCTCTGCAAAACCACAGAGGAAAGACTTCTGAATCTTCCTTCGCTCTAGAGCTGGGGAGACAAATAAAGCTGCCAGGCCATCCTGAGGACTTCCCTCTGGTTGCATCAGTCCAAGTTGTTCCCTTCCAGCTGATCTAACTTCTTGCATGCTGCTTCCTGCCCCATTAGATCTCCCACAGCAATAGGGCACTTCTCCCTGGTCTCTGCTGGAGCAGCAGTGGGACAAGGCTAGAGGAAGGGATGGGAGCAGAAGCTGCCTTTGCTGGTGAAAAGGTGAATTTCTCTCAAGGGGAGAAATGTCCTTGCAATGACAGCCTCCCACTGCCATCAGAGAGATAAACCTGAGCCTTCAGTTCCTGGCTGATAAAGGAGTTATTCTGCAAGTCACAGAAAATGATTGATGTTCTTTCTAGACATAAATAAGCCCAAATATTTTAAAAGCCTCTTTCCAAATGGAACGTCAGTGCCTAACCTGGTTTTGTCTGCTGTTTGAGGAGAGGGAGAAATACCACTACACTTTCATACACTCTCCACCACAGGTGACTTGGCTACATCCAGCTTACATCATTGCTCTAAAATATGCTGCCTAAAAGAAGCTTATGGAGACAACCCCTGTGTAGATGGCTAGAGAAAGTACCAGCATGTGGGTAGTGGGAATACCATAGTCCTTGGGCTCTACAGTAACTTCAGTGCTTTTGAAAATGTCACTCTAAATCTCTTGGTTTAGGCCACCAAGGAGCATTAGTTACCCACATGGTCTGTAGGAACTCACCTCAAAGCAGTGCAGCTGCTGGGGTGAGACAGAACAGCATTTGCTGGGAAAGGACAGCTTTTGGTGGGAAACACAGGGCCCAGATCTCAGGAACTCTGCTGACAGGTCAGGGCAGCTCTGGCTGAAGGCACTGGTCTTTGGTTCATACAAAAATACAGTATCCTTACCAAAACACACTAAAATGTACTGCCTTTAGCAGTCTTTGTACTTCACTTCTTCTACATGTTTCTGAGCTCCTGAAAGTGTGTTTTATTTTCTCTCATTTCTGCTGCATTTCAGAATTACTGTCTTGAGACTAAAATTCAGTGCTTCAGCCTGGACTTCAAGTTCAGATGTATTTTTCTCTCTGTGATGCCTCAGAAAAGCAAACACTGAGTTTCTGGGAGAAGTTCAATTCTGTGATCACAATATCCTGATCTCCATCCAAGCTTATGGGACCAGGACAGAACTGGTGGCTTCCTGTCCAAGAGCAGACTTGGGGCACAATTTTCATTTCACATAGGCTTGTCTGGGACAAGTCTCATGTTCGTTTTCCAGTGAAACATCTCCAGCCTCATGTCCTTTTCCAAGGAATAAATAAAGCATCCCAGCATGGCTGTCCTTGCCTTGGAACTTCATGTGTCCTGTCTGCCCTGCATCTGCTCTACTTTGTGGGTGCAGCATATTTTCATGGTTTCAGAAGATGCAAATAACCAGGAGGCTGTAGAGCTTTCTGCACTCTTAATGAAACAGACTAGATTAGAGATGGTGGCTTAGATGTGAAAGGCTTTCTGCTTCATTATCAATTTTGTGAGCATTTGATTTCAAATCCTACCTGTTTCTGAACCCTTCACTATATTCCTGTGGCAGGGCAGATCCCATTAAAACACATTTAAATGAGAGGTAATAAACTCCTTGGTGGATTGCTTAACGGAAGGAAACATTCTTCTCTAGCACACTATCTTTCAGCTTGATATTAAACTTCCAGTGAGTGACCATGTCTACTTATAGCTAACCAGTTCCCCTCCCTGACCTCCTTCACTCAGCTCCGTAAGAGATAACCTTTGTGTTTTCTATTTTTTTGGCCTTTTTCTGCCACAACTACCCTGAATACAATTTTCAAACAAATGCAATATTTTGATCATCCATACCAGTCAACAAAAAGAAAAAAAGTCTGGCTGGGAGAGCTAGGCCAAACTAACTCTTGCCCGGTGGCATGAAAGATGGAAAACATGTAGGGAAGGAAGGCTAGTGTTCACTGAATTAGTTCAGGTACCACAGCTAATAAGATAGACTTAATCCTGTTATTGGGACAAGTGGAGCTCATGCATACCCACTACATGGCTGCATTACTCAAGGAACAGCCTGGGGAAATGTTTTTTAATTAAACTTTCAAGTTTCAAGCATGTGAGTGCTTGATCTGATCTGCTAATTGTGTGCATGAGTACACAAGGAATGACAGAGGGTACCCACCCTATATGACAAAGCATGCATCATGGGAGAAGCAGATAATTGAAATGGTTATGAGGTTGTTTCTAATTTAAACTTTTGCCTTCACACCCCATCTTGATATGTTAAATTTGATGGATTTTCAGTTTACACTCTTGAAAGGTATATTTATGCTGCCAGGCTGATATGAAACATCTCAGTGTGGTTAAGGACAAGGTTTGGCATGTTTAAATAGCACTCAATTTTACTAAAAGCTCTGTTGCATCTAGCAGAATGCTTTATAAGATGATGCATTTCCTTTACTGACAAGCTACCCCATATTTTAAAGTGTTTGCACAAATTAATTCACTGACATTTTAACGGCAGTGCAGCAAGGGCACACCCTCTGTTTGAACGTACTCTGAGGCACTCTGAGACAGACAGAGAATATATAAGAGCTTGGTTTGCAAATAAAAGTTGTTACGTCTCCATTTCTTTGAAGTGCAAAATCAAATCTGCCATCAGCTTTTAATTCAGCAAAGGAAATAGCTCTGCTTTCTCAGTCCAGTGTTGTAAAGGCCATTGAAACACCACAATATGACAAACACACACGTTTTTTGGAGAGCAATATACAACTATTTTCCATGACAGAGATAAGGAAAGAAGTAAACAAACCCAAAATAAATAGTTCTGTGATCAGCAGACTCACTAAAACCTGCTTTTATACTTCTCTGGTTCTCTTTCTTTGTGTAATAAAGTGGGACCCTGAGAGAGACAGTTTTACTTGACCTCCTACTCTCACAGACATATTTTAATATATATATCATGGGCATCTATGCCCAACAGCTGAAACTAAAGTTGGCCATGGAGTAGAGAGGTTATTGAGGCTGTATAAAGACTAGCATCAGGCTAAGCTGCAGGACTGCCTGTGGCCTCTTTCTTTAGGGAAAGATGGGGTCACAAAGGCATTTACAGAGTGGCAGGAGGGCCCAGTGGCCAGCAAGTTACCCTCAGTGTCCTGCTCAGCCAGACCACCTGTGTCACATAGACAAGTTCTTTAGCACAGGATTTCTAAGAGTGTTTTGATTCCTAAGAGACCAAGGCATTATCTGTTGAGGTGTTCAAAAGCCTGCAGGCTCCTGAGTTCTATGGGTTTTGATCTTCTGAAATTAAGTTTGAGCTTAAATGGGATTTTCTGCTTCCCTTGGCTTATGCCACAGCAAGTGTGGTGCAAAACTGGATGTGACAGTACCACTGGCATTAAATTGAGAAGGAACACAGGAGGAAGATTTGTGTTCATCAGCTGTGTGGGTCCTCTCAGGCACCTGGGAGAGAGGCCAGCATGGACCACTACCAGGAGAAGAGATAAGCAAAGACTGCACTTTAGGAACCAATCTGGTGTGCTACACTCTACTCCCATGGTATTTCTAGAGCTTTGGGAAGTTTACTTGGTGTGTTCACAAACATAACAAATTCTGTTTAGGTGTTTTTTCAATACAACAAATATTTGTCTTTCCATTATTACACCTTTTTTTTGGTAGTCATAGGAGACTTTGTTAACAAAGATATGCAAGCTTGAATAGTACGATGTTAAGGTTCTAAAACACCTGAATTTTCTGTGCTCTGGTTTTTATTTACCTGCATGAGTACTTTGGCATCAGCACTGAGCAAAGATAGAATTTCACAGCCATGGAACTGACCACACTGAAACTCAGGCATTATCCTTGCAGAGGGGACAGGCAGCAGCTGCAAAAGCACCTAAAATCCCCCCAATGTACAATAAAGGTAGTCCACAGTGCATAATGTGGACATAGATCATCCTCAGGGATCTTTCGCTTTGCACTGAGAAGATGAGGAGCCCTCAGCTGCAGGCTTGTGCACTCAGGGCACATACCTCAGTGCCCAGGAGAATCTTCTCAAATAACTCCAGCAAAACCCTGGTGTCATTACAGCTGGGAAAAATATATATTCAGACTTCTCTGGGGTTAAGATTTCATCCTCAGTCATCACCATCTACAAGCTTTCAAATGCTGTAGTTCATGATGAATACTTGTTGAGTTATTAGTCACTGCACTTACATTATTGCCTCTCTAGAATATTAACCTGTGGTGGGCAAAGATGGCATGATGGCTGGACAAAAACTATCCTTTGCATTTTACTGGAATATAATAATGCTCAGATAAAAGGAATTTTTTATGCTCCATTTGACATTATCAACATAAGGCAATGAAAAAAATGAATTTCAGTGTTGCATGTGTGACTGTTTCAGCAGAATAAACAACTTAAATTGCTGAAGTTTGATTCAGAAATGAGCTTGCCCTGCATGCAGCTTGAAGACATTGGGATTACAAACCAGAAGTAACATGCTGCTATCTGGGAAGCTGTGGGCTATCAGAAACCATATCTTAAATCCAGTTCATATCCCAGCAGTTACAATATTCTACTTAAGTGCACAGCTGCTTGCAACACAGGTAAGGGAATCTGTCACTCATAAAAATTGTCAAATTCATATGTGAGATGTGCATTCCTGAGCTGAAACTTCACCAGGATCCAGAAACCTAACAGCTTGACCTCAGAGGCCGAATGGAGGTGGGAAGGATTGAGAAAAGTTGTTCTACTGTCATCATCCACAGTGTCCTCATTGTGAAGCATCAACGGGGCTAGTCTTCATTTCTCCAGCTTGTGTTAATTCAGGAAGGCAGAAAATTCTCACCACTCTATTTAAACCCTCCAACCATTTTCAGCTATGTCTCTATCTATGTCACTCTGTCTCCCAAAGCACACACTGCAGGACCTCTGGGAGTTCTTCTCAGGAGGCTCAGAGCTATACCAGGCTTCACTTCAACCTCCAAGCACTTGCTCCCTGCCAACAGGTCAGTGCTCTTGGTCAGTGCCCATGGGAAGGCAACCAACCTACAGATTACTGTTTTCAAAGACTCAGAACTGCAAGTGGGTGCATGTAAATAATTATTAATACACACTTAATGGCTATTAATACAAATATGTATCCATGTAGGCATGGAAAAAAAAAACAACAGTGCCTACAAAGGGGCTGCCTCAGCACAGCATCATCATTGAAAGTCCCCCATGTAGAGTCTTGAGAACTCAAGTGTTCTTTAGTGATTTTCCCCAGTGATTTTAGTACTCTTTAAGATTTGATTTAGCAGACTCACAGAGTTTGTGCAATACCAATGTGTTCACTACCTGTTGTCTTTACAGGAGCTCATCATTTGTCCATCAAATCCCTGATCTATATCAGCGCTCTCTGAAGAAAGGATGTCAAGGTCACAAGGAAACAGAATAGCCTCTTAAGAAGCGGCTGCTAAGCAACCTGATAAAGTGATGTTCATTTCCAGAGATGACCAATCTCTTCCAAAAGTAAAAAAGTAATACTCTCTCCATCTTCTCAGCCTTTTTTTTTTTTTTTTTTTTTTTTTTTTAATGTGGTATGAGATCATTCATAGCAGCACAAGGGGCAAGAATTTATGATATCTGATCACACTGCTCACAAATACCCGGCATAGAACCATAAAACGCTGCCTTTTTTTTTTTTTTTTCCTTTCTCAAACCTGGGCTAGCTTCTTTAAAATTATAGTTTTTCCATTTTCGTCTTTATCTCTATCTCCAGAAGGCCCTAGGGTCCACTCAGGATATCAGTAGCTGCTTAAGATGTGTGCAGCCAGCTGTACATGTACAGAAAAAAGGGCAGAGATCTGGGTATTCCTGGGGAGACAGATGGGCTTACAGCTCCTTGGGACACAGCTTATTTCAACTGAATAATAACTACATTGGCCTTTGAAAGCCCTGAGCTGGGTGGATGGGCCACCCTGAGAGATGCTGTGTGCAGCAGACACAGGTCCTGGTCCCAAGGAATTTTTGCTCTGAAAAGATCAAAGGCTGGGAGCAAAGCAATAAGGGAGAGAAATATAAGTATGTCCAATCTTCAGAAAAAGAATCGCTGCTGCTGGTTGTCAAAGATATAACAGGAAGTCTGTTAGGAAAAGAATGGATGGGCCACTGACCTCTATCCTAAACAGTGGTGATGGTGGCAGAGTCCAGTGGCAGTGGGGCTCTGCACTCCAGCAGCTCCTCACTCCATGTGAGGAATGAGAGAGAAGAAGCAAAGGGTTGCCATTACCCTGGGCCTTGACATCAAACCTTTGAGTCACTTTTCCCTCTTTAATTCAGCCCTGCAAATGCAAGGCTGAATCTTTCTTCCCTCCTTGGAATTTTGCCTTCTTACTTCAGTTAACTTCCTGCGCAATCATTTGTGGAGTGTATCTGATGCTATAGGATACTGCCCATGTAGATAATTTGCTGTTACTTGTGGAATTCATGTCCTCTATTTTATTCCAGGATATCATAGGATAAGATTATGCCTGTGGTAATTTCACTCCCTGCCTTAGCTTTGGGGACCAGGTGTGTTTATAAACATCCTTGATCTTCAGCTCTGAGAAAAGAATTGCAAAGAATAAAATAATAATCTACCATATTCTCATTTTCTAATGACCATTAACATCCCTTATTCTTTTGGCATTGCAGCTTGGCAAACCTGTGTCTTCAGGAGCCAGATTTGCATTTCAGATCATAGATTCCCCTAGATATACAAAGCATCCCTTTTCCCAGATCAAATCTTATCCTCTAACATAGGGATTTTAAACTGCCTCTCTGGAGATACAAAGCCCTTCTACAAGAAACCATGGGAGTAGTAACCAGAATTCCTGGCTCTCAGCTCTCAGCTGCATTGATCTACACAACCTAGCTGCTTTGGGTAGTGGAATCATAGATCTTTCTCGTGAAATTAAAGGGAAGGGAAAGGAGCTGGAGGAAATGAACCACCCACTGTCTACAAGCTTCAGATCACCCATTCCCCAGCACCTGATCAGAGATTAAGCACAGGGGATGGAAACCTTAATGGAGCAGAATGAAAAGTATTTGCTACCAGCAAATGCTACCATAAAGATTTTTGTCTTAGCTGTAACTTCTGGGCTTTTTTGTTTTCAAATTCTGCCAGTTGGAAAATAATTTCTGCAGCTGGCATTCCTCTCTCTTCACTGTCTTTTAAATATGAAAAACAAAATATACACTCTTCTGTAACAGTACAGTTTCTCACGTTGCTCTAAAGGGTCACATCTCTAGGCATACACACATCACACATACATAATATGGTATTGCAAAATATGTGGGAAGCTCCTTGTTTGCTTGCATACCAAGCTCTTTTTTAGGTACAAACACAGATTTTGTGCCAAGAAGCAAGGCAGTCCAATCTGAAAACCATTTAGAAAATTGCAGTGATAGATGTCTGCTAGTGGAATTCAAATTATACTCTTGAGAATGACATCCAGAAATGAGATTTTTCCCCTTCTTTTCTTGTTTTTAGATGTTTAGATATAAGAAGTTTCTCTGAAATACAGGCGACTGATGCTAAACCCACACCAAATACTATGCTGTTGATTGCAGTATAAAAGCTATATTGTGATAAGCCAGGCAGAGAATTGAAACTTTCAACCTCTCAGTCCTTTAGGGAAGCAGCAGGGAGCCAGCAAGGCTTGCTGGGCTTTGCAGAGCAGACAAGCCAGATACCTGCATCTCTTGGGAGGAAAAGGATTTGCTAGGAGGAAGAGAGGAAAGGAGGAAGTGAATGAGCTGGAGATCTGGCTGAGGCTGAACCTACCCTGAAGAAGGATGCACCTCACCTATATTTAAAGAGGTTTAGAGCTCAGCCAGCTTTGGTGTAAAGCTGAGTTCTTTTCTCATAGGAAATAGTTCAACTCTAGCAAAACTACTTGAAATGCACTTCCAGCTGATATCCAATGCAAAGAACTGTTAACAGCAGTCTGCACTAACTCCCACCAGGGATCTCTGACACACCTTTTAAGAGGCCTTTGATGCAGACATTGACCCTAAAGGAGATTTTAGGCTGTACTCTGATCTAAACAACATTAATTCTATCTTTTCTTACCATAGTATCAGTATATTCTTCCAGCTTTACTTCAGCAACCATCTTGTTATGCTGCAAAAAGAGATCTCGCAGGAAATCCTGTAGTAAGAAAAGACGGAAATTTTACTCTCTAGAGTAAAGTCAAGAAATTACAGTAGGAAATTCAATTCAAATTCAGCAGGGTTACACAAATCTGGTTTCACATTCCTGGTTAGTACTAGTGTCTTTGGTTGGACAAAGTTCAATTTTTTTTTAGCTGAAATATGTTTTTTGAATAAATTAGAAAGTAAATGAAATTCCTCAGAATAGGCATACTGGAGTGAATCCTAATAGACTCATGAAATAAGCAAAAGACAACATAAGTCCTACAATCCTTGCTAATTGATCTAAAATCAAAATATTTGTCATTCAGTACAACACTCAAGCCTCCTCTCACATCTTTGGTGGGACACAGGCTGAAGCCACACACTGAGACTTCAGCACATAATGTGCAGCCTAGTGATGGACTGTTGTGATTGCCAGCTCAAAGTATTTGAGTTATGGTTTCTGAACAGGCTCTTGCCTCAATAGCCTGAGCTTTAATGAGAAATCAGTGTTCAGAAAACCTGCAGGTTCAGGAAGAGATTGTGAAGAAATCCCCATAATAAAACACAATGGTTTTTCCCTGTTTAGCTGGGAGAAGCACATGTGCAAAGCCAAGGTGAGGCAGTGCTTGTGGGGCTCACTAGATGCCTCAGGTCACCAAGGCAACTGGGGTCATGGGACAAGGCTAGGGGGAAGCAAGACATCGAGGGCAACAGCAAACCATCCTCCCTCCTGCAGGGCCCCTGAGACCATGCCAGAAGGCACTTAAACTCTCTATGAACAACCCAGAAATACCATTTGTCAATCACACAAAAAGACAGCAAATTGGTAAAGCTGATGGAAGTGCTCCCATTAACATCAGTGAGCTGTAGGTCAAGCCCAAAGAGATTTGTTAGAATAACTTACTTTGAGTTCACCAGCTGAAATAAATCCACTGCTGTCAGCATCGTAACTGCGCCAGATCTGAATGGGGATAGATTGATGCAAGCACATAAATATTGCACTTACTCATCTGCTTGGTGATAGATTGTAAAGATTCAAAGCAGAACTTCCATAATGAGCAAGTTGTTGCATTATCCAACATTTAATTAATTGTAGATGAAATAAAATAAACTTTTCACACAATAGGTCTTACTCACACTTGGATGCTGTACATGCTACATGCTGTTATCACATGTTTAATGCAGACACACTGTCTATAAAAGGAAGACAATACTAAGAAATTGTTTCGTATTTCTTACCTAATTTGTACATGCAGCTTCTTTTATTGCTCTGAGTCAAAGCCATACACAACAACAAACATTGATCTGCAGAAGCCCCCAGCTTGTGTGTGAAGTAAAAGTAACCACATGTAGTCTTGGAAAAACTGAAATTCCATGTTGGGATACTTAGGGGCAGAGAGCAGAGGAAGATTGGGCAAAATTTTATGGGCTTGTTGACCCAGCTTATGGAGGTTTCCTGCCCATGGCCTAACAGTCTAATGTTTCAGGATAAAATGGTGCTTAAAAATGTGCCTGCTCTGCTGTCTTGGTCTATACTGTACTGCAGATGAGGACTGCAGGGGTGAATTGATGAGTGGGGATGTTTGTCTGTAGTGGCATGACTGATAGGTGGATGGGAGTGTTTGTGAAGTGTAATGAGTTCTCTGGGTACCCTTAGTCCAGTCCTAGATACCATTCCTGTGTTTTGATTGTGTAAATAATGTAAAACCTTCTTGAACAGGTCAGAACATGTTTTGCTTCCACAATAGCCATCTATTTCCCAAGTTGTATTTTACAGAGGGCAGAAGGGTTGGTGTTGAAGAAGCTGGTGGTGTGCAAGGCGGAGGAGGTAGTGTGTAGATACAGACCCGCATGAATTCCACGCTGTTGTCCAAGGGAGTTTCCCGTCGGAAAAGCAGGAGGAAGTTCTCATCATCCGGCAAGATCATATTTGCAAGCTGGAAAAAAAACCTTTAAAAACTTCCCACAACAAAAAACAAACCCACACCATTAAAGTAAAGAAAAAAACTTGGGTAGCTGCTGATCCAGTATGTGAAAGACTGGTTTGGCATGTTTCTCCCTTGGAAATAAATTCCAGACCAAAGGATCCGACCAATGTAATACTCTGTAAGTCACTTCCTCTGCATCTAGGCTCTATCTTCCAGATCTCCCAAGTCTGCTGCTACAGGTCTTAATCACAGAATGGTTTGGGTTGGAAGGGACCTTTAAAGGTCATCCAATCTAACTCCCCTGCAATGGGCAGGCACATCTTCCACTAGATCAGGCTCTTCAGAGCTCCATCCAACCTGACATTTGATGTTTCTAGGGATGGGGCATTGACCAACTTCCTGGGCAACCCCTTCCAGTCCTTCACCACCCTCATTAAAAAAATGTCTTCCTTAATCTACTCTTAATCTTCCCCCTTTCAGTTTAAAACCATTACCCCTTGTCCTATTCCTACAGACCCTATAAAAAGTCTGTTCTAATTCTCCATCCTTCTATAAAAGAAATTCTGGGCTGGGGTTGTGCAGAGATACCTCCTGGATTTGCAAGCGTCCATCTGTGGTAACATCGTAGACAGACATGAATTGCTCCTTCATTCTCTGAACTTTTTCTTCTGTGATGGTGCTCTGCCATTAGGAAAACAAGTGCATGAAATTGCTGAGGACACCAGAAGATCCTCCCGGAAGAAATCTCTCCTCACTCACAGATAATCACCAGGACCACTGCATTCTTACAGTAGGGGATAATGCTTTTAAAACCCACAGACACACCATTGTGGATGAATTTTTGGAAATAAGTCCTATGCATATCTTTGCAGCTACTAAGCTTTCAATTGAGAGATCAGTGTTTGGAAACCCCAAAATATTTCAATGACACCTGCTTTTTTAGCCAACTGTTCCCATTATATCACTGGAGTTTGGTTTTGCTCAAGGGCATGTTACAGCAGTTTCCATCCTGCTTGTTTTCAGCTTGTGCTTTTCAGGAAGATATCCTTATCCTTGAATGACATGTCTGCAGTTCATTAGATCATCAGCCTTGAAAGGTGCCAGTGGAGCTAGATTGTTGCTTGTTATTGCCTGCCAGCTGATTTAAGACCTGGCACCAAGCCCTGTCAGTGTTTCTGGGTTAATAGCACAGAATTTCAAGCAACTGACATTCCCTTTGTATCTGCTCAACCCCGTAATTGATTTATACATAGTGAGGCATCCTCCAGACTTGTCAGGTTATGTGTTTTGACAGGCATTGCTGTGACAGGTGAAATACAATGCTTAGGTTCATCAGGCACAGTTTCCTTAGCAGAAACCATGAGGGTACCCACTCTGACTGGACTACACAAAATACAATTTCTTCACCATGTGAAAAGGCTTCAGGTCATATGAGCTTTGTGGCTGGGCTGGGAAGCTCACCTAGTTAATCTTTCCTGAGCAATTAAATCCTATGTTACCCTTAGCACCTACACTGAGCAGAACCTGGCTTCTCTTCCAATCATGTGGGAGGTGGCCCTCCCTGGGAGGGGAGGGAAGGAAGGGAGAAGTATAACCCACACTGGATTGTGGCATACCTTTGTAGAAATTTTTACAAGACAATAAATTAGCTTCCCAATCCCTGAATAAAAGTCCTTCAAAGTTTTTATCATCTCTACAACCAGGTGGATGTGGGACTACAGATATTCCTTCCTGGGTCTTCTAGCACATTTTCTCATTCTTTCTACCTGCTATTGAAGCTCCATTAGGTTGTACACTCTCTTTTTTATTACTGTGACACAAGACCATGAGTGATTACCCAATGCACAGCTCCACACAGTGCAGCCTTTGGAGTGCATCCTTGCTGTGTAACACCAAGTGTGGCAGCTCCCAGTTTGGGGATGAAACACCAAGCAGTGATCCCACCAGGATGCACCCAAGGTTGCGTGCCTCAGGAGAAGTGGCTGAGTGGGTCCTAGGGCATGGCTGCAGGATCCTCCGGAAAGGATGGTGGTGTCCAGAAAGTCCTGTGGGCTTGGATATTGAGGGCACAGCACATCACTGAACACACACATTGGTTTTCTTTCCCCTTGGCATTATAACTCACCCTCATGCTATTTAAATTGCCTTCTGACAGCACCTTGACACTTTGAGACACCTCCCAGGAGTTAGGTGAGCCTATCACTTGCCAGCTTCAATAGGCTTGCAAAGTACTCTGAAACGATCCTCCTCAGAGCCCAGTAGGATGAGATAATTCCAAAATTATAATCACAGCCAATATTTGAAAAGTGTGCTGTGCATTTCAAACTAGTCATTTGTTAAAACACTTATTCCTCAACTTGCTGCTATTGGTCAACTATTAACCACCACTTTAATGAGCTTTCTGTGGCAGGGACACTGTTACCTGCATAAAAATAGGACCATCTTTTTATAAACTGATTTAAACTATGGGATAAATGCCTGGAATACTTATTATATTTAAACAGCTCCAAAAGCTTTTAGTCAGAGGGGTTACACTACAGTGGACTTTTCAATTTGCACAATCTTTCTCTCTTCATAACTATTCTACTTATGAAACACAACTGGTAATAGTTCTACCAAAACCCAGCCTTCACTCACAAAGAATAAAATAATAAAACACAAACTGGCTTTCTGAAGATGCATATTCAAGACAAAATTATTTCTATATTAAAAGTGTTTAGACTAGGAACAATACACCTTGTGTTATGACCATTAGGTTTCAAAGGGGATCTTTCTCTTTACCAAAAAAAAAAAAAAATCCCAGAAGACTGAAAAAAGCCCCAACAGATCAAATAAGACATTCCAAACAGAAACTAAAGTGGGGAGACCTGATTTTCAAGATTGACCTACTGGTGGTGCAAACAAGTAGATTGCTCTATTTTCCTTTCTATTCCAAAAACATTTAAAAGGCTGGAAAATCCCCATAATCTACCTGATCTGTTCCCTTTGTCCAAGAAAGGACATGATCTGAAGATTCACCTCACCCCACCAGCAAGGAGGCTGGGGCTACACAAGAAGTTGGGAAGGGACGCAGCCAGGACAGCTAACCCCAACTGACCCAAAAGACATCCATACTATATGGCATGGTCCTGTCTTGGGTTGCAATGTGAGATGTAACCAAATGTGTTCTGTTACCATCTGTTAAAAACAGCTGGTGCAATGTTCTTTATCTCTTCCATGACTCATCCCTCATAACTCCTGGGGGACATCTTCTGTTAATGGACCATTGAGTCAGTCACTGCATGACTGATAGAATTACATCAACCAGTTGCTCCAGATGACAGAAACTACATCAGCCAGATACTCCACCCAGGGGGAGGAGCCAACCATTCCTACCTGGATATAATCTGAGACTTGGAACACCACAGGCAGCCTTTCTCCACTGGATTCCCAGAGCAAGACAGGACCCATCTACACCAGCACCGGACCTTCAGAGGAAAATTACACTCTTCTACAGGATCACTGCTTCAACAGAACCACATCTGTCACTGCAGGAGGACTGCAGCCACCATTTAATCTGATTGCTACCAACACCCTGACCAACAGGGCATCCAGTTATATTCTGACTCTGTCAGTGGTTTTTTATACTACTGCATTTTTATTTTAATTTTCCTGGTAAAGAACTGTTATTCCTATTCCCATATCTTTGCCTGAGAGCCCCTTGATTTCCAAATTATAATAATTTGGAGAGGGGTTGTGTTTACATATTTCTATTTCAAGAGAAGTTTCTGCCTTCCTTAACAGACACCTGTCTTTTCAAACAAAGACAGGTGCTCAGCATATAGAGTTGGAGGAAAAGGGGAAAAGAAAGATGTTTGGAAAATGGTGTTTGTCTACTGAAGTCAGCATGATGGAACTTTGCTTTCCTGGACATGGCTGAACAGCTGCCTGCCCGTGCAAGCCATGGTGAACGAATTCTTTGTTTTGCCTTGGCTTGTGCCCTTGAGTTTTGTTTTAGCTATTAAAACATCTTTGTCTCAACCCATGAGTTTTCTCACTTTACTTTTCTGATTCCTTTCCCATTTCACTGGGGAATGCGTGAGTGCGTGAGTGCGTGAGTGAGTGAGTGAGTGAGTGAGTGGCTTTGTGGGGCTGCCTGCTGGTTTAAACCATGATATAACAAATAGCAGCATAGAAAAATGTGCCTCTTGTCTCATAAGATGGAACAGGAGTAAATGGCTTTGCAGCAAGTAAACATCTTCAGCTGAGCATATCTTTCTTTATCAGAAAATGCTGTCTTGATTATGCTGCCTATCTCAAGCAACAGATCCTTAACCAGTTTCAGAGGTTTGCAAAGCTTTCCCTTTTGTGAGGGCTTAAACGAATGCTGTTGCATCCTTTCCAGTCACTCTGTACAGAGAAGCCTTTCCTGTAATTCCTTGTTTTCCCTGGTGTATGAGCCTCCCTGAGTTTGTGGATGATGTATGGTTTCCAAGGGCTGCTTCATGTTCTCACTGCAGCCAGGAAAGAAATCTTTACTACTTAACATGAGGAGAAAGCCATGTAATTTTTATTCTCATAAAAGAACACAGTTTAAAATATTGCCGTGACTTTGTTCATGTATTTTTCAGGGTTAACAAGTACATTTATTACTACAGAGGCTCTTCCGCAGAGTTCTATGGAAAAAAAAGTTTCTGTGCTTCAAGTTGCCATAACAAATTCATTTTCTGCTTCCTGGCTTCTCCTTTCCGTGTCATCTCTTGTCTTCCCTTTTGTGAAAACCCTTTAGAAGTATTTGTAGCATCACAAAGGTAATCTGGTTGTTAATAGTGTTTGTAATCACAGAAAGGGCACAGTCACATTTTTTTAAAATTTCTACAGCATTTAATTTCTTTGTCATGGCTCATTATGATTGTTTGGAAACCTGGCTGTAATCTGTCTTCTTTGTTAATCCATTCCTTTTATATTGTTGCACTCTTTGCCTCATGCTGACTAATTAAAATTTGCTCCTTAAGGGATTCATGTGCTTGCCAGAATTTTGCCTTGATGAAAATACAGCTATGAGTCACTTGGTTTTGGGGCAAAAAGTGAATATATGGAGCACTGTGGAGCCTTTCCAACTTGATGAAATGGGATGTCTCATTTAATTTCTGCTCATCAAAAAAATCCTGTAATAAACAGATTTATTTTTCCTTCTTGACATGACTTTAGAAGCAAGCTGCGATATAAAGGGTATAAAAAAAGATGAAACTCCATTTAATTGGCTGTTATACTCTGTTTCTTGAAGAAAATCTAGAGAATTTTCTAAAAATGCTGGCTTGAACATGTGTCTTCTAGAGTTTCAGCCAAATATGATAGAAAGGCCAAGGGTCCCACAGATATCAAGTTCCTACAAGATCTATGGAAATAAATTGTGCCTGCCAAGAAGGAGAGTTGGAAAACAAAGTCAACAGCTATTATTGTGCCAAAAGCTACACAGTACAGATATGAGGCCAGCAAGGACCAGATGAGAGACATCAGTAATGTACACTTCGACTTTAGAAGAACCTTTCATTTTTGGGCCAGACATTTCTTCATTGTAAAAATTAATCTCATTAATTACTTTGTTACCCCCATGTAGTTGTAGGCTGGATTGTCTGCATTATTGTGGGATATCACCCTACATCTCCAGGGCCAATTTCTCCTTTGGGCCAATCTTGCTCATTTAACTTCAGTGCTATCACTTGAGAATTTTGCCCTGAATTTTGGTTAGGATTTTCAATTAGGAATTACTGTAGTCCTGCATGTGGCAATAGATGAGCACTTACCCTGTCATCCTGCATCGCCTTTTTGGTTCCTTTTTTATCTCTCATCAACACAAAAATGGGAAAGCTTTTTTCCCATGGCACTCATCAGCATCCAATAAAGGCTACTGCAGTCTTTCCTGTGCCATCATGGTTTTGTGGTTAGGTTTTGGATAGATTCTTTGTTCTGTCCTCTCTGCTACACTGAAAGTAGTTTGACATGCATTTGGGTGATTAAAACATATTGTGTCATTTTTACCATGGGTATGTTGAGTTTGCATTAAGAAACACCTTGAGGCACTTCCATGCCTTAATGTCAAGGAACAGGACTGGGAGCTGGCTAGGGTAATCAAGGCTGATGAAAGGCACACCTAAAGAAATCATTCTATTTGGCATTAATCAGAATGATAGACTGGTTTGGGTTGAAAGAAACCTCAAAGATCATCCAGTCCAAATATCTTCCGCCAGACCAGGTTGCTCAAAGCCCCATCCAACCTGAACACTCCCAGGGATGGGGCATCCACAGCTTCTCTGGGAAACCTGTTCCAGGGCCTCTCCACCCTGACAGGAAAGAATTCTTTCCTAGTATTTAAAGAGTCAGGATTACCCAGGGGTTAGAATTCTGAAATATTCTGGATGTGGATGCAAAGTGATTGCTTTCTGCTAGGGGTCTTCTTGCTGTTCACCTGCTGGTTACCATTGACCTTAGTTCTTTTGGGGTGGTAAACACAGGGGAAATCTGCCTTGGATGGCTTTGAGGCTGGCTGATATTTTGGCCATTAAACTTTGTTTGACTAGCTGTTGCATTCCTGACCATGCTAAATTATACACCTTATTTAGACAGACAGTGCAGTGTGCAAGGCAAGGATGAAATTCAAGAGTAGCTGGAGAGTGCTTCTATTCTTTGGAAGTAAAAAGCAAAGACAAATCCTTAATGGCTGCTCAGAGTGAGCTCCAGAGGATTAACTTTTGTCCCCTTCCAGTCATAATTATCCATGTGGGTTTCAGGCAGGAGGGATTTAAAAAGGCTAATACCTGTCTTGTCTGATAAAATTCGTACTTCAACAATTGTTGTGGTCTCCTACGCAGTTAGGTGAAGGCAACTGTTCTTTATCTAAAAGTTTTCTATCTAATTTGAGTATAATTTAAGCAAAGTGAAATACCTTTCTGAGAAAACCCAACAATGTGCATTTTTCTCCATATCTGCCCAGACATCATTGGTTTTATGGAAACTTTCAGTAATCCAATCACAAAACTTATAGCCATTCTTCTATAAAACTCTTATCTAATGATTATGAGAATATATACAGAGCTTCATTAAAAACACAGAAAAGAGCAAGCAAGGAAGATCTTTAATGATCTTGATACAGAAAGAAAGATGTACAGGAATATAAGACAGAAATGCAGGAGGTGTAGTTCCTGTTCTAATAAAATTACTTCCTTGATGCTGAAAGAAAATGTCCTTTCTACTGGGCTTTCACCTCAGCATAAAAACTTATAGAAAATGCATGGAAAGAGGTGCCATAATGTAGAGGAAAGAGGTTTATGAAAGAGCAGAGGAGAGCCCAGGCAGCTCATAGTAACCATGCAGTAGTGGGTTGGAAGCTGGAGGCTCAAATGGTTAGAGAGAAGTCACTGCAATGATAAGAGAAAGAGGTGGATAATGCCAACAGCTTGAAAATGTAATGCTGGCATGAGGATGAATTTACACACACCTGGAAACTGAAGGGACTTTCTTAGGACTGGAATAGGATAGAATAGGACAGGAGAGAATGGAATGGAATATTCCAGTTGGAAGGAACCTACAACAACCATCTAGTCCAACTGTCTGACCACTTTGAGACTGGACAAAAATTTAAGTGCGTTGTTAAGTGTATTGTCCAAATTCCCCCAGCAATCATCCATTGCTGGAAAAGATGGGACAGGAAGCAGCACCTGGGATTTGGTTGGTTTACTACAGGTCTACCTTTCTTGAAAAGTTTTCCCTTTCCCCCCACAATTATTGACGGTTCAATAAAAGACAATTAATTTGCCTCCATCATTGGATGCTATTTCAAATTTCTTTCCTTGTTCAGAGTTGTCAGGAAGAACTGTGTCTCTCATCTTCCCGACAGGCTCATTTTTGCATTGTTTTCCCAGCTGCTCCCATCCCCTGGCATTTAGTGTCAGCTAGGGATGCTGCAGAGTAACTGGGAAGTAAAACAGAGCTGAAGGACCACAGTGGTCATTAAGAAAAATAACAGCTTAGAGAATGCAGGCTGAAAAAATATAATTATGAAGCCATTTTCTATTCAAGCAAAGACAACTTCCAGTGCTGATAACATTATTTATCACTGGTGTAGCACTTCAGGCGCAGTCACTAATTAATCCTTGTGACACATCTGTAAGTTGTGCCAGTGTATTGCTGTCTCCCCCTTTTACTGTGCAAGGAAACAAAGACATTAAGAACCCAAAGGAGTAAAGGTCAAGATGAGTGGTACAGCAGAGAGATGCTTAGTCCCAGCTCATCAGTTTCATCACAGAGGACACTTTCTGTAGGATGGTAAAACCAATGCAGAGGGGATCCTTTACCCTTCCTGCCATAATAACAAGCCTGTACAATATAAATCATGTGGAAAGGAGAAAAGTAGCTCAATGTTGTTAGAGAAACTCATTGTACAAATGTAGTAAAGGCCTTTTTTTAACCTGGTGCTCAAGTGACCCCCATACCCAGGGGAGTAGGCAGAGGACTGCTCTCAGCCTCCCAGGACAAAGCTCCCTTTGGGTTTTAGGCCATAAAGACAGCCTGCTCTGCCTGCAACCTGCCATGTAGTTTTATCCCTAATATTACCAGAGTGGAAATACTACCAAAAATAGGCAAGAAGATTAGAGAGAAAAAAACAAAAGCACTTGAGAGCCTGTCTGAGCAGCCTGAAAGTTAGAGAGCACTGTCCCCCAGAATTAGCCCATTTCTTCTATTTAATAGGAGGAGAGGGAGTTGGTTCTTTCTCCATTCAATTTGTATTAAATTATTTCTATTAATGGCAGAACTTAGATAGCAGAAGCAATGGAGATGCTAACTGGATCAGGGTGCTGAGTTAAGCTGGAGTCATCCAAGCAGGGACTTCTCACAAGCAATAAAACTATTACTGATCTCTTAAAGCAGGGAGTTCATTGCTAGAACACCCTCATTTTGCAAGTTCTGTGTGCTGATAAATGACACAATGTAATGGAGTTCACACATCAAGACCACAAAAACTGCTGTAACACCCTGGGACTGCTACTCAGCTGGTGTGATGCTGTCCCAGGACCTCATGTGAAGGATGCACAAGGGCAGCTAGAGGCTAGGGTGGGGCTTGAAGTTGCTCTTGACTCACATCCTTAGGAAGCTGCCTTCAGCATGAGATCTCTGGTTAACTCTAGATTTTATCACCATCAGCTCACCCCAGAGAGCCCCACTTGGAGGTCCCACTGCAGCACTGAGCTCTGCAGCCTCATTTTAAGTGTCTCCTTCAACATCTCATGTTTGCTGTCACTGAGTTTGTTTGAGCATGCTTTGTGTTGCTGTTTCAATACCCCAAGACTAGAAGAACCCAATTTCATCTTTTGTTCCTGGGTAAACAACCATGAACTTTCTGATTTCTCTTTTAATCAGCTTTTCTATGTCCCTAAATATTCTTATTGCTGAATCTTTTTTGATTAATTTGAAGCCTTTTTATGTGCCTTCCTGTTCATCTAACCATCCATGCTCTGAAAGACATTTCTGCAGAAACTGCCAATATTTCAATCCAAATTTACTTGCAAATTAAATAAAAATATGCTTGAAAGAAATTACTCACAGTTTCTATTTTTTTCAATTGTACCCCTAAAGATCCAACAATACTAATTGGCTTCTAAGTACAATTCTGATTTACACTTGATACTTACGAATTTATGCCCTTTATCAGCTACATTTTCTGTCTTTGTTAATTACTTTTTGCTTAAAGGAATTGTTTCATCTCTGGTTTTTGGCATGCCCTCTCCTTCCATTTGGAAGACATTTCCTCCTTTTCCTATCTGGGCACATGCTGTGGAGTGAAAGTATTACTCTATCCTTTGTATGTTTCTGAGTGCTGGCCTGATTGGCAGGATTTCTCCTTCACTGATGGTGACAGTCATAGGCAAGGTGTGACCTGGAGCCAAGGAAAGCAGCCCCTGTAAATTGTAGTGCAACTTCTGTTTGTATGGAGATGCAGATAATGAGAGAGGGGAAATGCTGCCAAAACCAGGAAAGGAAACTGGGGAGAAGTCCAGAAACACTGTAGAGCCAGGTCTGGGTCTTAGAAGCAACAGAATTGACTTTCATTTGGCTTTTAGCCATTTGTGGCTATATAGACATAAGCCTTCCTCCTAAGCACCATTTAAAATTAATGACAGTGTATTTGTTAAAAATTGACCTGGGAAAGAAACCTATCATATTAACAAAACTCATCAGCACAGGCTTGAACAAATAAACCACAAATGTTGCCCTCCTGCTCAGCCAGCCAGGCTGTGTGCCGGTGCTTTTTCACTTGTTTCTACACAACAACAGTAAATGACTTTCTCTCCATGCTGCCAACCAGCCCCTTCAGCTGGTGCCAACTGCGATCTCCCCCTGACCAGCAGCTGTTGTGCTGGAAACAACTGATCAAACTGCTCAGCTGAGCGTACTTGTTGTACGTGCTTAAATGCCACCCTGTTGCCAAGAGAAAAGCTCTTTACCTCGGGATTGCTAAGGAAGTCGGCAATCAGGGAACAACAAACACAAACCATCTCTCAGCACAACTTTTTTGCTTGGACCTGATGCCCAACTAACATGGCACAGTACTTACTTCTGGTCCCAGTTTCTCCAGGAGATGATGAAAAAAATCGTCAAGCTCCTTCCCTTCTATGTAACCATTGTCTAAATAAAAAGCAAATGTATTAATGGTCATGGGTACTGCCCGAGTTCCAGGAACTATGTCATGGGCTGCATGCAGGCAGCTCAAGGCTTCAGGGTCAGGATTTCAGCTGGGGGCCCTGCCTGCCCGCTCAGGGGAGCCCCACATCCTATTCAATTTCATCTGTTCCCTTCTGTGTGAGGGCCGGGCACAGCTGTGGTGCAGCCTTCGGGGTTTTTCTTACATAAAACTTTTCAGAAACAAAAATAAACCCCCAAACTGGAACCAAAAGAAATGGCAGCATATGAAACGGGGAAATTATGAAAAGGCAAAACTTTTGGGGTGAAAAGGGGGATTTACAGCTATGATATTCACGGTGAGGGGAAAGAGGGGGAGTTGAAAACACCTGCAGGACTTCGCGGGGGTAAAGCTCGGACATGTCGGCCCCATGTGCAGCATCCCAGGCTCCCACCCACCCACACATCCTGACGGACACCCACCCCGGCGGTCCCCTCTGCCCGGACAGAGCCCTGCATGGCACCCAGCGGGGCCGGCACCCACGCACCCCTCAGCCGGCTCCCCCCACGCGTGTCCCCACTTGCCGTCGGCGTCGAAGCGCCGCCAGGCCCCGAGGAAGGCGGCGGCGTCCAGGCGCCCGTCGGCGCCGCTCTCCATGGTGCTGCTGCTGCTGCTGCTACTGCTGCTGCTGCCGGACCCGGCCCTCAGCCTCGCCCTCAGCCTCACTCGGCGGCGCAGCCTCTGCCCTGGCCCCGCCGCCGGGCCCAGCTTTCAGGGCGGCGGCTCCGCCCCGGGGGCGGCCCCACGGGGGTCGCGGGGGGAAGTCTCCCCCTTCCCAGGGCTCGTCCCACCGACCTCCCGGATCCCTCTCGGGTATGAGTTGTGGCAGGACGGAGCTCAGCCGTCGAGGTGGGCTGGAGCGGCCCGACCCCACAGTCGCCGCTTCGGAAGAGCCGTGCGCCGCTTGCGAACGACCTTTAAAGTTCAAACCTCTCCGAACGAAGGCTGAAGTGAAATGTGAGGCTTCAGAGAAGTAGTGGAGTTTCAGGGGAGAAAAAGGGAGTTTTCTAAAGCTTGTAACTCTCCTGCTCGATTTATGAAAGCAGAGCAGCAGCAAGGAGAGTTCTCTCACCTTCTCATTCCTCACAGTCATCACCGGAATGAAATGCCAGAGGACGGAGACGGACAGAAATCTGCATCGTCTTCCTCCTGTCATACTAATCAATCGGAGAAACTATAGGGTTAAAGGTCTCTGTGCTGATAGAGCATTATATTCATGATGGCCCTGCTTGGGAGTAGATTTGATTTGAATGTCACCAATGTGACATTCACCTGCAGTGATTTCAGGCACCTGGGACTGAGCTGGTCTCCATGTGTGCTGCCAGAATCATTATCTCATTTGGGACCCTTAAAAACAGTTTTTTCTAGATTGCCTTTGATTCAATATATACATATTTCTGTTTTATTCACATAATAATTGCTTTAGAGAGGCTCTCAGAAGCAGCAAAAAAGGCCCTTAAAAAGGATTTAATGTCTGCCATGAGAAGGTTCCTATTTGATCTGAGGGGGGGAAAAAAAACCCTGGAGAACTGACTTCTTTTTACTCAGGAGATTTCTTTCAGGGAGATCACAACAGAGATCATGCAGCAATATCCAGCTTTTCCAGTGTGCTAAGAAAAATGAGATACTGTAAAGCTAATGTGTTTGAACAGCAGCATGGGAGCATCTCAGTACAGGGATTCCTTGGACAGCAGCCTGGGATCATCTTTAGACCTCAGAAATACTATCATCAAGATCTTAATGCAACAGCAAAGCCACAAGCACTCCCTGACCATGCTCAGGTGGGGAACCCCAGCATGGGAGAGGAACTCATTAGGTAATGACATGGCAAAGTCTAAATTTGTAGGGGACACCTGCTCAAGTCCCTTGCAGGCAAGACCAGAGTCACTCCACAGGTTTCTCTATCATCTGTCTTTACCTCATTGCCAAAAGTCCTTGCCTTAGGTTGAGGGCTTCCTCATGGAACCCCTCCTTCCGTCTCTTCTTCCCAGTGTTTCCCACCGTGGCTCCCTAGCAGTGGTGGCCTAATGTGCCCCATGGGAGCTGCCTGATCTCCTGCATGGGATGAAGTCACTTGGCACTGCACTATGGCATGAAGGTCACTTTTTGGCCCCATCTCTCTTCCCAGGACCCAAAGCCTATCTGGCCCAGAAAGGGAGCATATTGATCCAGGATTTTTAGGAAAGAGATGTTCATCAGTTTCATGATGAACATGAATATGATCAGTTTCTTCTTTCCAAAGACATGGTTTGCAACCTGTCTTTGGAAACCACCACCATGGCTGATAACCAACAAGGTCCCCTGGTATTACGATCGTGACAACTGGTTCCTTCCTAAAAAATATCTTTAACGAAACTAACTTAAGAGGAAACACTATCTATGTTTTGAAATATTTTTCACATGAAAGCACCCTGCCATTTGGCAGGGATGGAGATAGCAAGATTTTATGGGATAGGATGCAAAGCTCAGGACATTGAGAAGAGCTTCTCATAGCTGGTTCTCCCCCATGTTTTCACTGGAGGAAGAACAGGCAAGAAGTGACACCTTGTTTAAACTACCTGTATTTATCTAGTATCTCACACAACTCCAGTGAAACTAGGTCCCGTCTGGAGAGAAAAAAAGGATCCTCAAGCTTAAAGGGCTCTCACAAGAGCAACATGTTACTTGTGCATGAGGATATGTGTCCATCCATCTGAACATCCTTGTCATCCCAGGGCACTCTCAGTGCTGGCAGAGTGAGATTTTGATTTCACACAGCAGATTGCATGAAATGCAAAGCAAAGGGGGAAAAAAGAGCAGAGATGATGGATTCCTCTTCTGTTTGCACCAGCTATGCCTTTCCTCTCCCCACAAAACCCTCTACTGAAATACCTTTTAGATACAGGGGCCACCCCATAGATGCACAGCTTAGCTGCTCTGCCCTGCCTCAAGTATTGCACAAAATGGATGTAGGGGTGGAATTGCAAAATTTAGCTCAAAGTGACTGGAACCAGGTAAATCCCAGCCTGCAGAGAGGATGTGGCCATCCTGCTGTATGCCTGAAAAGTGTTCAGCTTCTCCAGTTGCTTTAGGTGACTCAGTAAAGCCTGGATGAGAAGAAAAACAAACTAAACAAAAAACAGCTCTGAACAATTTTTACTCATCCAGCTGGACTTTCTGTGGAACACTGTAAGTTTGAGGAGCATATTGAACTGTGGACCTATTGGCATTAGCATTAAAGCAACACACTGAAGATAGCTGCTGTGTGTCCAGCTCTTACCAAACTCAGCAACCACTCTGCCTTGGCTTATTTACTCAGAGGAATAAATGACAGTTAGAGGCAGGCAGTATTTTAAAAGGTAATGAACCCTTTTGATTAAGGACTTTGGCTTCAGCTTTGCACTGTGCAGTAAAGTTCAAGGCTGAAGAGCTCAAATCTGTGTTTTGAAAAGCTTAAAAAAAAAAAGCAAATGTATCCACCCTGACCAGAGATGCACTTGGCTCTTAAATGAATGTGCTTCAGTAGAACCCTTGAGGCTGGAAACTTTTGCACAACCATTGCCCGGTCCTGCTGTGGGTCAAGGAACCCTCCAGTTGAGGACACCAGCAATGCTGCTTTATTTAATTGATATTGATAATAAATGAATAAATGGCAATTATTGCCAAGTAAACAGCAAAATAAGGAGCTTGTGGCCAAACCCCAACCTTGGCTAGCTTTGTAGAAAGGCTTAATCAAGCAACTGTAAATGGGAAAACATGGATTAAAGTGCAGATTGCTGATCTGGAAACAAAAATAAGGGGCAGCTGACAAATGCCTCATTCTTTGGGTCAGACTCAAAGTATTGATGTGAAATGAAACATTTGGGTTCCTGTGAATAGACTAGAGAACAAAAAACCAAATGAAATAGTTGGATTTGTAGTATGACTTTGCTCCTCGCCTTTACAGAAGAAAATTCCAAATACATACAGACACAGTTAAATGGAAATAATTTTCCTCATCAAATGGCTTTATCTTCCCTCAGCTTTTCACTGACCAGAGACACTGAGGAAGCCAACACCAGCCATCAGCATTTCATCCTTCACTGAGAAGGTATTTCACAGGTGGTTTGGATCCTGCATGGGTCCTGCAGAAAGCCCCAGCCCAGATCCTCGGTGTGCCCCATTTTCCTCAGACCCAGATTTTCATCAGAGCAGTGGGAGGTGGGTGTGCTGGCTGAGCTGCTGTGCACAGCTGGGGCTGCCGAGGGTGGGATGATGAGCTCCTGCCCAGCAAGGGGTCTATGAGCATTCCAGCAAAGGAAAATTCTGCAAAAGCAATGAAAAGCAAACTGAAAGGAAATAGAAACAGAAATAATACAGTCAGTGAAGACCCTTACCATTCCTACCATTTCTTGGAAATCAAGTCAGAGATGAAGCTGTCTGCTGCAGAAAAGAAAAAGACTCTTCTTTCCAACCTACCCTCAGATGGGTACAAGCTGCTTGTTAGCAGTAGACCCCCACCTTCCAACAAGGATGCCCTTCTCTTGCCCCTCCTTCCATCCCACCCCCTCCCTCTACCCAGAAAATCCCACATTCCTGTGCTGGGCTAGATCCTGGATCCATCTTTCTGGCTCAGGTGGTGCAGGGTATGTGGGTTCAAGGTGCAAATATGTGCAATGACAGTTCATGTCAGGAACTGATGGATGTGGTGTGACACAAAGACTACCATCCCACAGACATTTTCACCCACGGATTCCCATCAAGGCCAAGTTTCTCCAACTTTCCTAGCCAGCCCTTCAAGCTGTGAGGCTTCAGTCCTCTGTTGTCTTCTTAATTTTGGACCAGCAATGGGATCCCTTGAGTGTAAAGCAGACAACCTCTTTCCACAAGGATTCCACTGAAATGAGGAGTCAGGACTCAGGCCATCAGAAGGGATCTGAGATTTCCCAGAAGAAAAGCTGGTATGTCCCCCAGCTACATGCTATTCAATGCTACCCAGGGGCTGCAGTCTCAGTTCATGACTTTCATTATTTCAGTCTTTGGCTAGAATTTAATGTCCAAATCATCTGGGCTGTACAGCCTCCAGAGCAATCTCCTCTACCCTCTGCTGGGTCTTACCTACCTAAGCAAATGGGAAGGGAAGGAAGCATTCCTGGAACGATGCTAAACAGATTACAAAGTTAACTTGACTCCTCCACTCAGTGAAACCAAATTGGATTTGCCAAGCTAGCAGCCCCCCTCCTGCCTTCCCTGGCTGGTATAAATCTAATTAAATGCTCTTTCTCCCATGCAGCTTTTTTCTTCTCAGTTCAACTTACCAGAAAAGCAGAAAGAACAGGTTCTGAAGGATTGGATTCAGGGTCAGCTGGCAGAACTCATCATAAACTGCCAAAGCAGCATCAGCACAGAGGCATCAGAGCAAAAACCTCAACACACAGCTGGGAGGGACCATGGCAGCATATCTGCTTCTCCGTGCATGCTTCCCAAACATGAGCATTTGGAACCTGCATGTAATAAATCCCTAGGGCAGCTGATGTAGGGGTGTCAAAGTCAGAGCAGCTTTCTAATTGGGAAGAGGCTATCTGCTGGAGCCTCTTCAGTTTGCTATGAGATAGCATAAGAAATTAAGTCCTGTAATA